AACTTTCTTAGATCTTCTATAATCTACCTAAATATCCTGTCATACCAGTAAATTTAAAATTCTAAAATTATGATGCTTTTTTAAATCTTATCTCTTCAACTCTTTATAAGCCAACCTGATTTGTTACTTGCAGCTGCCCTTTTCTTTCTATAAGGAATATGTTTACCTTGAATATTTAAAAATTTATCTTTGAAAATTTTCCACATCTGATCAGTGTCTCCAAATAACTCAGCTGCCCAATTCACAACAGATATTTCTTGTCACATACCTTCAACATTTTTTTGAAATCTGTAACCAAAATATCATTATTCCTTATCTCCATATGCAGCAAAACATCGAACCTAATAGAGCAATGATCACTTGAACTCAGATGTTCTCCAATTTCCATCCTGTCGATCATTTCTGTATTTGAAGTTAACAATAACTGCTTGTGGGTCATATACAAATACACTTGTGATAGCTCTAAAGCTACCTGCAATGGTAAAACTACAAATACAAGCACATGGGAATTACAGCTAGAAGTGGATATAAGCTAACTAATCCATCTGAGTCTTGTATCTGATTATACAGCGAGGAAAAACAACCCCATACTTTTTGAAAACTCTTGACTGTGGAACCACAGATTATGAACTCTTTGTTAAAGAAAGTATTTTCACTTTCAATTATCATATAACACTAAATAATAAAATCAAGCATTTTATAAAGTGAACCTCAAGGGTAGTTTACGGTAAAAAAAACAGTTCAAAGATAGCATTCAATATAAATTATTTTGCCTTAAATTATAATAGTAGTAGTTAATAACATGCTGTAAAGATGCTCCCTTATATGGATAAACCATTTAATTATCACATTGCAATTGCAGCTGTAAAATAGAATTAACCTGAAGTAAGGCTCGGAACCTATTTCCAGTTTTCAGGTCTTTTCTTTATATTGTGAAAGTTGTACAAAAGCGTATCCTTACTGTTCTAAGTGTCAGATATCTCTCTGTTGGCTTTCATGTTTTAATTATCATAGTTTTTAACCAAACAGTTTCAGCCGACTTGATATTTCAATGTTGTTATAGATTCACTGACATACTTGTAGCTCTGTTGTGTTATTGATAGTCTGTAAGTTAAAAGATTCAGAAAGCTAGAAACTTAATCATCTAGACATGGTGTGCTTGACAGTGAAACACATGATTCAGAAAGTTAGTTACTTAACAACAGTGTTAACACCTAGGTGGGGTACATTCAAAGTGAAGCACAGGATTCAGAAAGTTAGTTACTTAGCTACAATGTTAAAATCTAGATAGGATATGCCTGCTAGTGAAGTGCCGTATTCAGAAAGTTTTGTTATTTAATCACAGTGTTAGCATCTAGGTAGGGTACGCTTGATAGTGAACCATTGGATTTAGGAAGTTAGTTATTTAACCACAATGTTGACATCAGGGTAGGGTTATACTTGACAGTGAACCATTGGATTTAGGAAGTTAGTTAGTTAGTTCACAAAAGTTTATTATGTGAGTGCAAAAATCTTTTGCCAAAGGCTTGTATATCTCTACCAAAGATACTGTAATATGACCCCAGGCCACCTGTTGACATGTGTCATGATGAATAATAAATGGTAAAGGACAGGAAAGGAAAATAAAAAATTAAAAATAAACTATGTAGTGAAGATGTGAAATTATGTGTATAACCAAAAGAAGATATTTTAAGATTAGCTAACAGAGTTAAAAGGTATGTACATATTTTTATTTCTTAATTTTAAACATTTATGGCACTGTACATTGATGATAATAGCTATAGTTAGTGATATGAAAAAAAAATTAAAAATAACATATAAATATTTATCTTAACTTTTAATATTCATTTAGTGGTTTCTAAAGGTTATGCAAATAAAATTTGAAAACTGTAAGATGAAAAACATTGTTTTCATCCTTACATGAAAATCCCCTATTTAGCATCTGAGTGCAAATAACTACAATAAATAAAAATTTTTAGTAGAAAAAATCAAAATTAAATATTACAGTTTTCTGAAACTACATGCTTTTACAAAAGTTCTTGCCCAATTTCAAACAATTTCATCTACTAGTTTTATTTCTGGAACAAAATATGACAAGAATCACATTACGTCCTTGCGATGTACGGACATGGTAGCCAAAGGGTTAAATACTAAATGTTCTTACTATGTCAGATCACTTCACTCAGAAATTTCCAAAATTCATAACATATTACAAAGTAATGGCTATCCCATTAATTTCTTACACTCTATTACATGAACATTTGTAACAACTATAACAGAACTTACCAAAAAGCCACACACTGTCTCCAAGCATCCAGTAGTTGTTATTACTCCTTTCATGGGTCAACAAAGTTTTAAACTTAAATCCCAAATTAAAAAAATAATCAAGACATACTACTCACAAATTAGGTGCACACAGGAATTTCACCAAGAAGTGGATATAAGCTAACCACTCCACTTGAGTCTTGTACCAATTGCAGAGTAGAATAACAACAACCCTATACTTCTTGAAAACTATAAAATTCTTAACTATGGAACCACAGATTATGAACTCTTTATTAAATAAAGCTTTTCCATTTTCAATGTTCACCCAAAACTAAATAATAACATCAACTCCTCCCTGTTGTTTTTCATTTAATCACTTTCAGATTCCAAGTGTTTTTGATCATTATCATTATTATTTGAAAGAAACAGCTTTTAAACTTATATTTAAGCCTTTTTTATAAGTTTCTCTTAACAGTATTATTTCACTTATGCTGCATGTTTCATAGTATGTTCCATTATATTGTTTTTATTTAAATCTTCTTTCTAAACTTTTGATTGTATAGAAATGTACTCACTGAATAGCTAATGTTGTTTTTCATAGTTAGAATATTGTGAACTAACCTTTTGAAGATTTTAACGTTGATGATGGAATTTGAAGCAATTTCAAGATGGCAGTAATCAAAGATGATTTTTTAGTGCTATTGTGTTTTTAAAATTTATTATAAAACTTCACTTTGATGAATCAGTAATAGTTATTTTGATTGTGAAAAAGCATAGTCCCATAATGAAAATAAATCTTCAAGAGAACTCCTGTCAATCTAATACAAGTATAAACTGTCTATATGCTACTGCACTACCACACTATCTGTCATTTTTCTTTACAAAACTAGGCCCATCTATGACAATTATTAATTGTATGACACCAACTAGTAAACAATATCTTTTTTTATTATTCTGAAACTTTGGTTACTGTTTTTATTAGAAAATCTTGTTGCTCACGAAGGTGACCTGTACAGTCAGTGAATAAAATATTTTTATTATTTTTACTACTAGTTGGTATCAGACAAGAAAATTTCTCCTACTGATAGATTAACCCAGTCCAACAAGAGACAATGCATTACTTACATTTATGTATATGTTCAAAGAAAAGACCTTCATATTTTGTAACATACAGCTTTTATGACCAGGAAAGTATAAAGGAAAGATGTTAAGTTATTAAATGAAAATTGTATATACATGCACAATTTCCATACAAAAACTTTCAAGGAAGGCATATTGTTATGTCTAACTTACATATCTATCTATCTGTCTATATATATAACTCAAAATCTCTATGTTTGTTTGCTTGTTTGTCCACTGCATTCACTGCGCAGGTCACACTTCCCTCACATGAAGGTGAGCAAAACAACAATTTTTCACTGATATACACGTCTATCGTCTGCTAGCCGAATTGGTAATTTTATTGCTAACATATACATTACATGAATAAATTCTATGCAGACTTGACATTTTTTGATAAGTTTGACATTTAATATGCAATATTAAATTGTAGGCCTATTTTTTTAAAGATCATTAACTTATACATCTACTAATACATCATATATTTAACCTTACATACAAAAGAAATGTATGCAGAATTAGAATGTTGTGTGAGAAAAAGCAAACAGTAGGCCTAGCCTATAAAATAAAATTATGCCATCTGCCATAAAATAGACTACGTGAAAAGAATAAGGCTTACATTATACTTGTTATGTAAAATGAGATTAAAGTCAAGTCAGCAAATGTATTTTATTTTACTTTTTTTTTTCTCTTGGTGGTTCGATACCTGGAAGTGGATTCTTATTTTCTTATGATACATTAGAAAGTATAATATTGCATTTTGTTAGTAATATTTTTCATACATCAATGTCATAATGTGAATACGGTATCACAACCATAAAAATGTATTAAATTTATATTGAAGCAAATTCAACATAATATTACATACATATTTACGTTTGAAATTTGAATATTTGAGGAGGGATGACAGGGGGAATAGAGCTAGCCTGTTCTTTTTATAAATTCATAAAATATTTTTTACCCATCACAATATGGAATGGGAAAACAGAGAGAGCAGTTATTTTTCAGAAATCCTGGTAACTCTGCTAGTGTGTATATTTACACACACAAACACACAAAATAAACATTTAACACATAAAGCAGAAGGGCACAGCAACTCCCATGTTTTTCAGCTAGTGTACAATATTATATATTAACAACTATGTTACATTTACTTTACTTTTTTCACATCCCCCACTTTCCAATAAAGTTAGGCTCTCCTGATATACAAAATCCAGATTATAACCTTAAAAGATGAGAAGTTATTATTTCTAATGTATATGTGTGTGTCTATATATGTATACCTATAAACATACACACAAACAACACCAAGACTAAAACTTTAAAACAAACTAAATTATCATGTCCAACAAACACACATGCATGCACACACACACACACATATATATATATATACACAATTTCCATACCAAAACTTTTATTACAGAAATATATGAAATTATTGTGTCCAATTTGTATATAAACAGCTTTGAGACTAATACTTTAAAAGATATAAATTTTTATGTAAGAAACAACTTATTCAACCATCAATATGGGAAGCAGTTGAAATCATATTAGTTCATTTTTTACGAACCTTTTGTCAGTGTTTCATTGCTGGTCACTGAGCTAAGAGTTAATTCAACTTCTGGTATACAATAGACAGGAGACAAAAACCGAACACCAATACATCTCTGAAAACACAAATAAAATCAGTAAAAAGTTATTTGTAATTTACCTTACAACAAAGCTACATAATCTAAAGTTACAAAATTCTTGTAATTCCATTTTTTGTATTGGAGGACATAATAAAGGAAAATAATATGTCACATTATGTCCCACACTCTCTCCCACATGCAAACAAATACCCAACTTCAAGAGTTTAAACTTCCCCAAATAACAATGCAGCTTTGTAAAGAGAAGTTGTTAAACTGCAAAATCCAGTATTTGTCAGTAACTCTTTAACTAATTGTGATGCTTTCCTGTGATTCCTATTGTTATTTCCTTTCACTTATTACAGTCACATGACATAAGGAAGTTCAAATGATAATTTATTTAAATATTTTTATCTGAAGTTAAATTGAAAGTTAGGTAATATAAAAATTGGAATTATAAACTATGTTTTGATGCCAAGCTTAATGACTTCCTCCTCTTAAGATATCTCTATAACCAACAGAAAGAGCAATTTCTGAATCTGATGGTTTTCTATTTTGTTCTGGCACTCAAAGCAAGTAACTTGCAAAAAAATCTTGAAATATGTTGATTAAGGTAACTGCTTCAAGAAGTACTGGAATTTAAACGTATTAATAGTTTAACTGGAAAGCCAGTTAAAATTATTGTACGTTTTGGAAATTCTGTTCTAGTACTTCATACAATTTTTATTATAAAATGCATATTTGAAAGCAATTTGAATTTCATGGTCAACCAATGTAGTGTGTAAAAAGTAGTCTTACTGAAATATGTTCTTGAGTACAAGTACAACTATTTGCTAAGGTAAGCCTTAAATTTGTTTTTTATTTATTGTTATATATTTTGAATAAAAGTTAGTAAAACATAAAAATCAATAACTTATTAGTTTAGGCAACAAAATATAAAGAAAACAATTCACGAGAACAGCTTGAGCTAATTGAATATTACATGAATGGTTTTAAACTTGGGATGAGCATTCTACAGATTATGTAGTTTATACAAATAAAATATCTTATTTTCATCCATGATATCTGTATGAAATCGAAGCTTTGGAAATTTTAAAAGCTTTTATGATGTTTTTTAAGAAGTTAAAACTGGTTATCTTTGTTGTAAATTTCAGTTTCCAATATTTATGTCTTTCTACATTTTAATAAAACTTTCCTACAAAGTTTGAATTTAATAAAACTCTACATTTTGATTTTTTCTGATTTGAAAAACTCCCCACCCAGTTTCACTGTTGTTATGATAACTGGCATACTATGTAAATAACATTTTAACAAAATTTATTAATAAGCTAACTATTCTGATATTTTTTTTAATCAGAAAGTTTAATATAATATATGTGATAAATTTTAAACCCATTTTCTATTCATATCTATATTTACTTTCTGTTCAATTATTTTCTTTGGCTATTCAAGCAGTTACTTAGGCAAAGCCTAACAAACATAGGCTTTGTCAGTGAAATAAAAGCTCATATGGTCAAGTGCAAAATGATATAATTAAATCTACTTCATCTTATTCCAATAAAAACATTTCCTAACATTGTAACAGACTAAAAGAAACAGCTGCTACAATGAGGGTCGAACAAAATAACAAATTTATTGAATTTGATAACTACAGAAATCTAAAAATAAAACTTTCAAACAGACAGAATATAAAGTTTATCACTTACCAAAAACACAGTTAATAAATAAGTGCCTGGCCAGGATTTGATACTAACACTAATGAACAACATAAATATCAATATTAATACTTATTTCAATAAATAACAGAAATAGGAAAAAGAACCAGAAGAAGAAAAAACCTAATTCCAAAAAATGCAATCTTCTGAATTTAAACAACTTCAAGATCAATAACAATATCGAGCAACAATCAACAACAATACATTTTAACCATATCTTGTGAACTAACTCATATAATCTCAAGGCAGGGTTTTTATTTAGTGGTTAGACCACGAGGTTACATCTCATGTAACTAGCTAACTTACATAATCTTTCGTAACATTAATATCTGTACATCACCATTGGGGAACCTTGTGTCAGCTTCATAATGCATACATACATACTGAACTTCAATGTGCTCTAGCTAAAAGGTGAGTTTGCATTTTATATAGCAACCGTAAATTATATTATATTAATTTTCTGGGGGGAGTGTGCCCCCAGACCCTCTAGATTGAGCTGCTTTTAGCACTTTCCTTACTTTCAATATTTCATTGTAAAATCTGCATGTCTAGACAAGCACTCCCACTTCGCAACTCCTTCCTACAAAACTGCTTCATACCATTACTTTTATCTCTCTCTTTATACTGATGCTAGGAATCCCTTACAGTTTAAGTACAGATACCTTACAAGGAAAAACAACAATTCATGTTCTGGAATCTTCAGCTTGATCTTCCCTAGTTTCTGACTCTGTTTTAGCTTACCAGAAGTTTATTAACAGTTCAAAGACCAGCCAAATTGCGATAATCAACTCTGCGATGTGGCTGTAATTTCCTTTGTGTGAGTTCAGCATGAGACATAAGCAAGTCATTAGCAGGATCAGTTGAAGAGTGAGAAATGGACACAACAGCAGAAGTCTTTTGTCTTGTGGGAAGAAAGCCTCCAAATCTTTTGTAGTCAACAATCGTGTTTTGCCACAACTGCATAGGATGATTACCATTTTCTCAAGCATCCATAGAAGTTTTACTGGGGGAAATATACATAATTCTACTTGATCTAGGATCATTTAATTATACACTAACTGAGTAACACACTTAGGGCAGAAGATAATGGATGCATCCTTAATAATACTAAGTCAACTATTTTAATTGTATCTGGGCATCTCTTATGGTTGTATGCTTGTCACTGCCACTTCTGAGTCTTTTCAATATTTGATCTTGCTTTCTGTATGACATTTTGCAATTCTGCTGTTCACTTATTAACAGTTTGAGGAGCTGTTGGATACTTTGTCAGTCAGTCTCAAGGAAGGAAGGAAGAACTTTCGTTCCAGATGGAGTTTGACTGCCGTGTAACTTGCAGAGTCATGAATAGAAGTTTTAATTGCAATAGAAAAATTCAGGAAAAAGTTTGATACTTTTTCTCAATGTAAGCAGATATCATTCTACCTATATTTCTCTTTACTCTTTCAGTAATGTTAGACTGAGGATGATAGGAAGTTGTAAAGATGTGTTTAATTCCCATAGCTTTACGTTTCATCCATCAAATTAGATACAAGTCCTTGAAAATCCATCCACGCCAGTATTTATTAATTAGTTTTTCACCTTAATAATTTGTTTGAGAGGATATACTTCGACTCATTTACTGAAATCTGTTACAACCAACAAATAATTATTCACAGAAGTAGATTTAGGATAAGGTCCCATGATATCTATTCCTATTACTTTACCAGGCTCCATTAGTTTAGTGCTTTGCATAAATCTGGCTAACCATTTCTGATCAAATTTAGTGGTGTGACAAACGCGGCATGATAACACAATTTTTAATGTCCCGTGTCATACCAGGCCAATAACCACATCTGGATATTTTGTCTGTGGTTTTTCTAAAACCTAGGTGACCAGCTGTAGGATGATCATGCAATTTTATTAATATTGCTAGTTTCAGTGTTTTGGGAATAACTGGTCTGTATTCACCATTGCCAGCAATCCATTTTTTGTAACGAAGAACACTGCCATTCAAGACATAGTGTTTTGAATTAGTCAGTCTCTGTAACTATAGTAGAATCATTTGAAAACTATCCAGTACATTCATCATCTTTGGCTTGTTCAGTAGCCAAATGTTCTGAAGTGCTAATGTTGACAATGACAAAAAGTTCAGGTGATAGCTTGCTGACATCCAATTTTGAAGTTTCTTCTAGGGAATCAGCAGGATGTCTAGATAAGGCATCAGTTAACTGGTTACCTTTTCTGTGAAGTATTTTAAATGTTAAGTCCTGCAATTTTAATGACCAATGCATCATCCTACCAGTTAACTTCTAACTTGTCTGTAACCATTTCAAGGCAGCATGGTCAGTGATCATTATAAAATATTCTTCATCTAGGTATATTTTAAACTTTTCTACAGCCCAAACTATTGATAGACATTTTAACTTTCTAGTTGTATAATTTCTTTCTACATAGTTCAGTGTTCTAGTAGCAAATGCTATGACACCCTTCTAACACAGAACTGCTCCCAATCCAACATTTGAGGCATCTGTATGCAAAAAAAATGCTCATCTTTTTTCCCTTTATTTTCTGGAATACATTTTCACATTATGTGATCCATTTCCACTTGATACACTTCCTTTGTAATTGATTTAAAAGTTTAGCAATTGTAGCAAAGTTTGAAATAAACTGATTATACCAGGCACACATACCCATGAATGTGCTTAATTCCTTGCAGTTCTCTGGAATTGTGAAGTGTTTAATAGCTTTCACTTTGTCATCATTTGTGTGTACTTCCTCAGAAATAAGTTTAAATCCTAAATATGATACTGCCAGTTGGCAAACTTTGCTTTTAGAAATTTATACAGTAAGATTAGCTGTACGAAGCTTGTAAAAAAACAATTAAAGATATGCATCACTAATTTGGGTGAAAAAAGGAGCACATCCAATACTCAGTTGGATGTGCCAAAGGGTGTAGAGTGGATAGTGCATGTCACACTGTAATCAGTGTATTAACTCCAGTACAAAACCAGATAGCATTGGGTATTTTTCTTCTGATCCATGGTAGGAGGAGGGTTCCAACAATTTTCATCTCAAGTTTAGGAAGCAGAAGGGAAAACAAATTTCATTCCAACCGCCCAAGCAGGGCACGTGTGCAACCTAGTACACAACCAGCACCAGACCACCTGGGAACCTGACATCCAGGCAATGGTAGGAAGGGTCAGTAAAACATGGAGGTTCACTTGAACTAAAACTTGGCAGCATTGGGAATTTATCGCCCAGTCCCCAGTAGGATGAGGTACCCCTAAAATCCACATGTGTGAGGACTTATGTTGGCTAGTCTAGTTCTAATCCAACACTAGACCACTTGGGAACCAACATCCAGAGGGATGAACTGTAACTTGGTGGACAATCTCCAGTACAAAACCAGGTGGCATCGGATATTTGTTTTCTGGTCTGCAATAGGCAGAGGGTTCACACCACCTTCACCAACAAAACACCACCACCTTCCTCTCAACAAAATGGGATTGAGCACACTCAGAAAAATGCCTCCATGTTCCACCACCCAAACAGCTATGAGCTGATAAGTGGAAAGGACTTCCATACTCCAATCAAAAAGAGGGGGAACAACATGGTGGAGAGTTTGGAGGAATGCAACTCTGGAGAAAGTATAATGGGTGACAATAGAACCCTATTTTTAAAAGCAGGCCAGTCCCAATTTATTCCACCAGAGTTAGAAGGATGGACAGCTATCCCGACACTGCTTTACTCATGATAGTCCATGTGTTGCTATGGTATGGGACAGACATATTTATGACACAAAACACTGCAATGAAACCTCTAGCAAAAGGATGTGGATTTGGGAACTAAAAGAATGGTAGTTTGGAACTGAGGTGAGTGTCAAATGCTTCTAGAAGTGGAATACCCCACAGAGTGTACCACCACCTAAACACCTGAGGATCTAGGGATCACTCTGTGGGAAGAATCTTGTTGGGATGAGATTAAGAGAACCCGGAACATGACACAATAATAGATATGTGTAATGTGAATGGGCAAAGAATAGGAGTTCTATAGTTTGAAAACAAAGTGGATGTGGATGGGAGCCCCTTTGTCGATTGACGTAAGAAACAACAGTAAAATTGTCAGAAGGTATCATCATCAATCTTCCTTGTATGAAAGAAAACGATCCAAAGCACAAGGAATGGAAAAATAGCATCAGAATACTGATGTGCAGAGTCAATTCGACCAGAGACCAATGACCTGCAATTTCTCAGGAATACATACACACTCCCTTACCCATAAGAAAGCATCTGTGAAAAGATGCAACTTTTGATGGGGAGGCAAAAGAAAAACGACCACCATGGTCTTGTCCCTGTTAAGCTACCAGGCTAAAAATTATGTGTAGTGAGAGAGGGGTTAGTATAACCAAATCCAAAGGATCCCGAGCAAGATTCCGTTGATTATGCAACACTCATGGAAGAGCATGTATGAATGCACAGCTAAAGGGAATGAGGGCTTCCATGGAAGTCCAAAAGAAAAAGAACTTCACATGTAGTGAGAAAAGGTGAGGTTTTATATTTGAGAACTAATAGCTCCACTGGTCTCAACCAAAGAGGAGAAGACTGGGCCTGACTGAAATAGTAGTTAATGAGCACTCCCAAATGGATAAGGTGGATCAGGATGAAAACGGACTTCTCCAACATGAGTAGCCAACCTACATTGGCCACCTCTTGAAAAGTAACTGCATGTGCATGGGAGATGTTTGTTGGGATGTAGCTAAATTCAGCCATCTATCTATATAATGATGAAACTACAGTTCATGAGAATAAAGAAGTCAGGCAAAGGCCCTGAACACCTGACAAAATACACTGGGTGAGTAAGCCAGACCAAACAGAAGAGCAGGGAATTGAGAAACTTGACCTCTGTGGACAAAATGAAGGTAATGTCTAGATGATATGGAAAATGAATGAGAAGGTAAGCACCTGAAACATTCATCTTTGTCATTCAAAGAACAGAAATAAACACCCACCAAACAGTAAGGAAGGACTCCATGGTGAAATGAGGAAGGTTGATGAAATGGTTGAGAATGGAAAAATCTATGACAGGGCACCAGTCCTTGGTCTTCTTGGGAACTCTGAACAACTTGGAATAGAACTCCATAGAAAGCAGACTGGTGGGTTTGATAGCTTTCTGGAGAAGAATAGTCCAAACCATTTTGGGAAGACACTGGTAGAAAACTGGATCTCAAAGATGAGGTAATGGAATGGGATGTGGGGATAACTGAGATGGCATTACAAATTGTAAGTTCTTCAGATAACTAGAAGTACCCAATGATCCAAAGTGAAATTGCTCCTTAGGTGCACATACCTGGCCAAACATACTCCGACCATGCCAGAATCTATGGTAAAGTTACTGGTACCATTGGCAGCAGGAAACCTGCTGATTTGCAGTTTGATGGCTAGCTGCTGAGACCATGTAAAGAGGTTGAAGGAGGGGTTTGGATACAGGAATGGGAGAAGAGGAAGGTTGTGAAAGATGAGAGACGACTGATGAAAAAGGAAGAGTGTTGATGAACAGTCTCCACTCTGGACTACAAAGAAATATTCAAAGACTGCCTGGCATAAAAATGGAGCCATAAGAAGGTCCTGCAAATAAGACATGGGTAGGAGTATGTGAGCAAAATGTGTGTCCCTACCCAGGAGGTCCCAACAACAGAGAAGCCAAGTTTGGATGGAAAAGTCAAGGAAGACAACACAGAATACACGGGAGAGTAAGTGTTCTCAAAAAAACCGTTCAGGGGAACAGTGGATAGCCCCAGATAGAAGATGGATGGACGATAGGTAATGCAAGAGGGCGATGAGGGTTAAACAGAGCCAGGAAAATTGGGCCTGGGAAAATCTCATTGTGATATCAGGGACAGACCCCCACACCTGAATCAAATACTTTAAGTTCTGTGAGTCCAGAAACGGAAAATCCTAATGATGACACACTAATGTGTGGGAATTATTAGGAAAAAGCAGAATTAAGGAGGAGAAGTATCTTAAGACATAGGGAATATAGACAAAGGGTAACATACCTGTGACACTATATTCAGAAAGTGTAAACAGTCTGGGAGCATCCACAGGTAGAATTCAGGACTACACAGTAAAGAATGGGGTGGAAACAGGCTCTCCTAGCCCTGTCATTCTGTTCATGTTCACCAGAAAAATGAATATCTGGCATAGTATAAGGAGATACAGCAGACCATATAACGGACCCGAATTTGTGAGATATGAAAACCGAAACCTCCTCATTACACAAATGCGGATCCCAATTTGTATAATGTCAACTTAACTGTACAGCCACGAACTGCAGGAGGAGAGCACAGTCACATATTGTGCTCATCTCGAGTTAACTAAATAGTTGCCAGCTGCAGAAGGAAGGCCTGAGAAACTGCAGGTTACAGTGCAGTAGCAGGAGTAACAACAGTAGTAGTTTTCATAATTTGAAATTCAGAATTCATAAACCAGACCTACACTATTTAGTTTCATTTAAAAAATAATAATAAAACTAAATAACAAAGCTAGTTTGGAGCAAACATTAAATATGTCTGTACTCTACTATGCCAAGTCAAGAAGTGAAGACGGGGCTCTACAGTATAGAGAGCCAGCTGCACCAAGGGGTGTGTCACACTGCTATTAGTGTAGGTTTGTCACATGCTCATTTGCAGGCTACAGTGCTGCTGTATAACGTGTAAACATGTGAGTGTAGGTGGGAGCATCAAGGCTAGTGACGAGTGAAAATTGTGCATATAGGGCAGCACTGAATGAGAAAAGCTGTTATGTGAGCGAAGGTAAGGTACTGTATCAGAAGAAATCATTTTTAAATTGAGTTAAGTCGTTTGGTTATTAATGAACGATTCAGCTTTTTATAAAATTTTAAGAATAACCATACTTTATTACCACAAAAATGTTTACATTATTTCTTTCCTTGCTTTGTAAATATGTTTTTATTTGTTATATAATTGTTTTTAACCACCAGCTTTATTATACTGTTTAATTCTCGTGGCTCTATCTTAAGTTACATTTTGTTCTCATGTATTGTTTCCTTTCAAAATGTTCAGTAATTGTCATTCACAGGCTTGTTTCTGGCTTGAAGAAGAGCATTTGTCAGAAACATCACCAAGAAAACAAAATACAAACATTCTTTTCAAGATGATTTATCTCCAAAAGCCATCATTGTTTTCATTATCAAATACAAATGACCATTTTTTGGTAGATATTGTTCGAATGGTTTCTCTTCAACCTCATAAATTATAAAGACTCCACCTTTTCATCCTTTGAACTAACTGAATTAACAGTTTTTGTTTCAAATAAAATAACACTTTCCTTCAAGGCACTGTGAGGTTAGCTCATTATGGTCCACTGTAGACCATAGCATAGTACTAGTGCTATGGTCACAGCATAGTTCCATACCAATATGCACCTAAATAAAATTTTTTATAAATAAAAAAAGGAAATATCTTCAAAAATATCAAAAACTTGGCAGAAAGTTCATTGATTATTATGTTTCATCATAAAAATTATTCTATATCAAACAAGTAAAATTGTATGAGATATCTGAGTTTTGCAGAAGCATTTAGTTGGTGGCACCTTTGTGCCTTCAAACTGAAAAGAGTAGAGTATCTTTTACTTCATCCCTGTCTAACAAGGTGGTCCTTAACCAACTTGAACTTCATCTCTGTCTTACAATGTGATACCAAACTCCCTCCTCACCTCTGGATGTACTGCTTTTGCAAACACTTCATCCAATTTCAGGTTCATGGTGCTTGAAGCTATTATAGCATCTGGACTGCAACAATGAGATATACCTAAAAATAGTATCAGATATTACTTGCAATTGACTAAAGACCAAAAATACTTTTAACTCCATGTGTACAGGTAGGGATCAAACATTTTAGAAAGTAAGATTCAAAATTTAGTTAAATAATTTTATTGCCAACATACTTCAGTAAACTTGGCATAAAAATGTAGCTTATAATTTCACACGTCCTAATTTACGAATCTAAAAGGAAAATATTTAAATAGATTCTCAACCTTCACTTCTCTGTGTCACATGATGCTTCTCTGCTGTGAGTTCTTCATTTTAGATTTTTTCTCTTCCCTGTCTATCAGTTAAATACACCAACTTTTGATATTGACAGGCCATAATTTAAAATAAGAATCTCCCACCTTCTTTATTTTCTAAGATATAAATTTGTTACACCCACCAAAGAAGCTTCTCCCAACTTTTCATGCTTTTGAAATTAATTTATTCAAACTTAGTCTCAGAGCATTTTGATAAAAATACTATATATATAAAACATGAAAACAGAAAGGCCATCACAAGAGAAAATACAGAAACATCTAAGAGTATTTTTAAACAAATCATCACAAGTAAACTAGGATCACAGACAGATCAGATCATCAGAAAAAAACAAGAACAGCAACATTCTCAGGGCACTGTTTAAACAAATCACTACATTTGAAACATTATAACAGAAACGACATCAGAAGGAAAAATACAGCAACATTCTCAGAGCATTAATACAAAAAATTACAATGTGAAACATGGTAAAAGAAAACATTAGAAAAGAAACTATAGCAACATTCTCAGTGCAATTTTTAGAAATCACCAAATGTGAAATAGGATCACAGAAAGGATATCAGGTGAAAAATACAGCACATTCTCAGTGCATTTTTATAAAAATTACCACACTTGAAACATGACAGAAAGGACATCAGGAGAGAAATTGAAGAAATATTATCAGTACCTTTTTAAAAATCACTACATGTGAAATACAATAGATAGTAGAAAGGACATTAGACGACAACATTTTAATAACAATCACCATATGACAAAGATAACAGAAAGGACATCAAGAGAAACTACAACAATGTTCTATTTTAAGAAAAAACCTTTTCTGAAACAGTATCACAGAAAGGACACTAAGTATAATACTAATAAATATTTTCACCATCTAATGCAACAATGTTAAAACATACAAGTATGCAAGCACATCAATGTAATTGTTTAATCTTAATCAGTGCCTCATTTGTGTTTGATATTTCATCTTTTATCATTTAATAATCATTTAGAGACCACAGAAATAATACTAGACAAATTAATAACAACAAATAATAAATATGAAAATTAGTTTACAAAAATATCAAATATAAAATGTAAACTCTTGGTCTATAAGTTAGTCTTAGTAGTTTAAGTTCTTTTGTTGATAGCATGACACTGCTATATTTTGAAAATGAATCAAGTTTAGAGCAACAACTATATGTCTAAATTCATTAACTAAATGCCTTCAGTTGTTGAGGTTTTGACCCATAAACTTGGTACTTTTCACAAAAGGCTGTCCTCTCCACAAAAATGTCAGTCTTGATTCAGAAATTAATAAAAAATTAAAATGAACAAACAATTGCCAGATACTAAAAGTTAGTAGGTAAGAAGTAGTAACACTTACGCTCAATTACATCTTGTTTAATCTTCAAATCTTCATTTACACACTCAAATATGAATTTTGATTTCTTCGCAACTCTTTCTAGTTTGTTCATATAATACACATTTCCCTAGAGGATATGAGAATTATCAATAAAACCCTATAATATTTAACAAGAAACTCACAAATCGACATCTGAACTTTTAGTCTTGCACAAACAATATAAGAAAAATTATTTTGTATTGAAGGATAAGTGTATGGACTTTAAAATGACATTTAAGCATTAAGATTTTATTATATAAATACATATTTTAAAAAAAGGTAGAATGGAGCACAATACCTAGATCCCCTTCCCAAACTTACTGTTTTGCAGATTCCCATGAAGTTTATTCATAAACCATGAAAGCTGGATGTAAGATTTGATTAAGAAATCTATTTTTAACCTAAATCTATATATTTATAAACCTATATGTTATAATTTTGACCATTTTATTCTGCCAGAAAACAAACAAACTGCTTTTAAAAGCATTCACTTAGAACATAAACAAGGTTCTATAGGTCAGGTGTGGAAGGGTCTAATACATGGTAAAAGCTCTGTTCTTATGCTTCTAAGGCAAATTAAATGTTTACTATAACAAAATTTTGCAGTTACTAGACAACTTTATCTATCAAGCTCCATACTCTCATGATGAACATCACTACTGAAATAATTACATACATAAGTAAACAGTAAGATTATGTACAAGGATGAATTAACAGTGAAACAGAAGATTACTTCTGGTTAAGAGCATATTTAAGTTTATTCTTAACATACATTACTCACCTACTACACAGTGAGTTCAAATTGGCTACCATATTCCAACATACAGTGCAGCCCAGAGACGTGCAAACTTTTTTAATGGTGCACCCCTTCCCATTTTTAACCAAATTTTGTTGTAACTACCTCCCACTACCCAGTATAACCTATTTGTGTATATACTGTACATATAATTTTTCCGATAATAATTGTTATTACAGTATTGCTTAATAATAGTAATATTTGTATGGTAGTTCTTAAAACTTTTTTACTTTTAAGTTTGTACTTCAAGATATAAATTATGTGCTCCGAGAGCCATAGTTGTGACCCCCCCCCCCTCCATGACTCACCACAGTATGCACACCACTGGCGTAAACTACAGGAATGTGATACTCTTGTACAAGCTACATACTTTTAAACCATCAGAACTCCTGGTGATCAACATATATTTCATTTGTTCCATTGTTAATACATGAGTAAGTTTAAATTAGGATTACACTGAAGATAATCAATTTTCACTTCAATATTATGTCAAATTTATGCTGATCCATTTTCAGAAATAAAAACAACATACAACAAAGTCTGTCTGCATCATCAATTTATCTTTCCATAGTTTTTCCTTGTCATACTTGAGACGTACTACTAAACTGTCCAAAACTTCATTATTTTGGTCATACACCCAAACCTCAAGGCCATGGTAAGCAAAGTCACCTGAAAAGTGAAAATTTAAAGTGATAATTGTAGGATCATACAAATCATCTAAAAAGTCTTACATAATACACAGAAATCTCAATACTTGTCCCAAAAGAGCTACAAAACTTTTCACATTTTCCACAGATCATCAACAGTCTGTTAGGTAAGAATATAGAACATAAGACACTGATTGAAGAAAAAAAAAGAAGCCATCATAATAAAACAGTCATGATATTTTTTCATTTCTTAAAGTTATAATTTTCCTATACTGAAAATGTATATTCGAAAGGTATTTACCTCTTCTCACATAAATAGCTATTCTCATTCAGTGCTGCCCTCTATATACACAAAAAGATTCTGTGCATGCCACAAGCCTTGAATCTCCCACATCTGGAATGGAATGATTCCAATGCATCTCGCATGCAAATCACCATAAAGAGTGCAACATACTCTCTTGACACATGAGACTCCATCTATTCAATTCTAGGAGGTAAGTACCTATTGGAAATACATTTTCAGTATAGGAATATTATAACTTTCAATACGATACATTACCTCCTCTCACATAAATAGCTAGAATCTCACATTGAACAGATGGAAGGAATGGTGCAAGGGATAAAAAGAAGCATCCTTGAAAGTGTCTGAAGGATGCTCCTAAAGAGATCTTCGGAATCTAAGATCATACATGGGAGACCACATCACTTCTGAACCAGGAATACTCTTCGTCCATTGTCGAAAAATGTTGGAAAATTGGAGGAGCACATCCAAATGGGAGAGAACTACAGCAGGATAGTGGTCCAAACCACTATTATATATTAAAGTTATGAAACTCAATCCCAGAAAACATAAAAGAGGGTAAGATTAAATGATATGCCCCTAGGTGTAGAGTGGCTATGGTGAGATGGACCATACCTGGCAGGTCAACTTCACTCACAACTCATGATGCCGGGAAACCGACATCCACGCGGGTGTAGGATGAGGATCATACTGCCAGCAAGTTGACCACAATCCAAAACCCAGAACACCAAGTATTAACATCCAAGTGGGGTTAGGAAAGAGAATCATACAAGCAGCAAGTCAACCTCAATCCAAACCCCAGGCCATCAGGTACCAGCATCCAATTGGGGGGAAGGAAAGAGGATCATACGTGCAGCAACTCAACTACAATCCAAAACCCAGCCATCTGGTGGGGGTAGGAAAGAGGATCAAACATTCTTCACCATGATTTCATAATACTAGAGGGAATCTTGTAACACCCGATCCATGAACAGGCAGGCACATGTTGTTTTATAACAATGTGAAAAATCGAACGATTGATCAGGGAACCCAACATCTGGAATAGAAAAGATGTCTGTGCAATGTAAACCATCTCACTCAAATATATAATGACAGGAACTGCCCCAAGCACAGGAACATCCTTGGAATAATAATCATCGAGGGATAGCAAAAAGGAAAGAACTGTAGTAATCTGTAAGTACTTCCACCATGACCCACTACACGGATGGAGAAACAAGAGTAGAAATGAGCAAGGGAATAGAAACATCTGTAATACATGTGTGAGGAGTTATGTTGATTGGTTCAACTCTAAATCCAAAACCCAGCCACTGAGAACCAACTTCCATGTGGTGGTTGGATAAGGGATCCCAACTGAAGGGGGTGAACTGCAATTTTGTTTGCTCACTCTCATGTTATATAGTGGAGGATATCTCATCATCTACACCAGCAAAACACCACCACCCTACTCTCAACTGAATGGTTTTATAATCATTTATATATATTATTTGTATTTCATTATCATATTCAGTAGGATGCCTCCACAGTCCACCACCCCAGAGGCTTGGAACTGAAAAGTGGTAAGGCTCTCAAGCTCCACTAGAAGAAAAGGGGGGAGAAAGCACAGAGGAGAGACCAAAGGAATGATAACACCTGAAACAGTGCAATGGGTGACCATGAATTCCTATTTTGAAAAGCAGACCATATTGATTTATTCAATACAAAGGATGGCAGGGATAGGCAGCTATCCCCTTCTGCTTTATCCATGTAGTCTATGGGTGAGTAAGGTCTGAGAAAGGTAAACTTATGAAGCAAACATATCACGAGGATAAACCTACAAGTGATCTTGTGGAACACTCCACCTCCGCAGTGTGCACTGCATGGCCATGAAATTATAATGGTTAAGTCATCATGACCTTGCAATGTGGCTTTTACTAGTTTATGTATACCTGGATAGGCACCACTCACCAAGAGTGGGACTCATAAAGAAAAAGAAGAGATGCTCCTGAAAATAAGAGGTATATATACTAAAATATAACTTACCCAGTCACAGTCTCATGAAAGATTGAAGGATGGCAACAGGTGGATGATGATACCCCAACAAGGAAGAAACAACTACCCAAAATAAAGAATGGGAGATGAACATATGAGAAGTAGTCCCAGTTCTCGAAAGATGAAGAACCTCCATTGAATGACAGTTTGGATAGGCAGGGAAAAGGGAAGGTGCATGATCTGAGTGAGGACATGAGGAATTGATGATGCGAAGAAAAATACAAGGAATGAAAGACCAATCAAATCACAATCCAAACTCAATGGGTCAGGGTTGAACAAAAAAATTACAAACAAAGCAATAGAGTAAGGGAAGGAAATTATGGGAGATGGATTCAATGGAAAACCTTGAAAATAATGAAGTAACCCAAAACATGTACTGGACCAACAAGTTCATCTGGAATCAACTGAGAAGAAATGTGGAAGATAGTAAGAAATTGAAAAATTGAAAGGAATATACCACATGATCCATGAAATGGAGGTAAATAAAATTGATCCAGAATAAAGGAAACAATCAAGCCAAAACAACAGAGAAACTAGATTTGTGCCCCCCAGGAAATCAATTAAAAAGACATGAAACAGAGTGACATGGATGAACAAACATTTTGGGAAAAAACTGATGGAAGGGGAAACTAACATGAGAAACTGTGTTTTATCCTTTCTGAACATATCAACAGCCAGGACAAGGGGATGATGAACTAGAAGCCAAAAACAAAAGAGGAAATCACTTGGGAATTGATAAAAAATTCAAAATCTTCATGTGGAGGAGTATCCCACAGGAGGTAGAGTCACCAAAAATTTGAGAATCGAGAGGTCACTCCTATGGAGAAAATGTTATAGGACTGGGAAGGCAATGAGCAACGAGTACAAAAACCTGGAATATGACCCTCCAGGAGACACACGTAAAGTGTGTAGGTTAAAAAAGGGAGATCCACTGTTTACCCCAAAAGCAACAAGAAAAAATGTCCACTTGGAAATGAAACATGATTAGTCAAATCTGGACAAAATAAAAAAAGTGAACAAAAGCACACTGGACTGGATGAAGTGCCAGGGTGTGAAGGGAATAAGACCATTTGCCTGGAGACCAGATCGAACCAAATCCCCAAACAATGGAGATGAGTATCAAGGAAGAGAAACAATTCAGAAGAGGGGAAGAAAGCAGTAAACCCAACATCATAAGGGATATGAAAATCTACGAACTCATACAGAAGAAGAGGAAAGGAAGAAATTAAGAGGAAAATCAATGGATGGTCCTGATAGAGGGGTGTGTAAAAATACCACCCCAAAGAGATGAGAATATGAGGTATGGAACAGGAAAAACACATCCAATTGGAAAATCTAACACACCAAGCTGACTGTGGAAGGAATATACGAGTATGTGAAGACTACCCCCGTTCAGAAGTATCTAACTGAAGCTATACATCCAATGAAGAGGATAGGTAAAATCACCCCCCAAAAGTAGAAGTTGGGTAAAATAAAGTCCATCCCACAAAAGATATATGGTACCAGACAACTCCAAAGAGCAATGTACAAAACTGGGACTGCATCACGTGGTGAAATAACCTAAAATAGCACCCCAAAAAATGGAAAATAAGAATGTGTAATATGGTCGTACCCTAAGATGTAGAAATAGCAAACACAAATATGATCAAAGACTACATATGAAAATGGAGAAGACCCAAGAAGTGTTTGAGGTGGGACCAATCGATCCAGAACCCCAAATGGAATCGAGCATACGATACAAATGGATAAAACCTGTAGGTAGGACAGGTGGAGGACAGAAAATTGCTAGACATGTAAAAGAACAAAGAAGACAATATCTCGGAATGAAACAACAAAAATTTAATATAGCATGGCAGATACTCTACGTGATGTTAAATGTACAGGAGGAGCCTCAAAACAATGTACCGGTGGAGAAAAAGATCTGACCATAAGTCCCTATTAGCAGTGGATGGGAAACAAACAGCAGTGTCCCACCCAAGAAGTTCCCAAAAGGAAAGCCTTGTATGGAGGGAAAGAACAGAAGATGGCAACCCCCCAACATGGAGGGAAGGAGGAAGAGGTATCCCATTAAAATCCCTAAATATGGTTGGAACACTTAAGAAAGGAAGTGGAAGGTAAACATCACCCATAGGAGAGTATGTAGGAGAGAAAATGGAAAGAATTAACAGAGATCCAAGGGGCATAAAACCAGGAAGAAAATCTGCCTGGTGGTAAATTAAGGCAAAAAGAATTAAAACCTGTATATGGTGAGGTTTGCAATCACCCAATCTCAAAAGAGACAAAAAGATCATAAACAAACAATGCCAGGAAAAGGAAATACACTGAAATGGGTTCAGTCATTATAGGAGAAAGGTGAGTAATATTTGGAGCAGGTAGGGTGGACTCCAGCCCAAAGGGTCCAACATTAACGAAATTAAGGGTGAGATGTATAAAGTATAAGTTATATGAAATGAATGGTAAGAAATTAACAAACATTATTAAGCCTGAACTAAAAAACATTTAACAAAATTAGTGATAATCCTCAAGTAGAAGTACAAGTAAACTGAAAATAACAAACACATGTTAAGCCTAATTGAACAGTGCAGTATAAAAGATATTGCTAACCTGTAAAATAAAAATTTTAACCTAACCATAAGTATAATACCAAAAATGAAATAAACGGGAATTTATAAAAAGAAACAAGTGTGTATGGACAATAACGTAGATATAAGATGTGATGTATGGAAGAAAAACAATATAGTTACACAAATGATTGACATCTCAGTCATATGAATTACAGGTAATCCTAAAATAATAGACCCCTAGTATCAGTGGTACAGGAGAAAGGATACAACTAAGCTTAATTTCTAACCTGAACTGGACTACGAGTATCAACTAAACTGTCAAAACTTATATTATAAAACTCAAATAACTACAGATAATAATATTAAAAGTGTTCAAAACCCATAACAATATAACTTCTTATCTTTCCAAAGTCAGAAGACTGTTTGTCAAAATATGTGGACCCCAAACTCGAGGCAAGGCCCAACAAATATCAGCTCCTTGGAAGAGCAATCTCCCAATGAAGTAAAGCTGAAAATCTTCCCACAGAGTACTGTGACCTTAAGCTTGTGTAAATGTGCAAATAGAACATATAATCTCTGAAATAGTAATGTAGAATTCATAATACAAAATTAATAACCAATCACAATGCATTGGCAGAAAGTTCCGTAACCGGGTAAAAATATAAAATAATTCCACTTCGGAATAACTCAAATAGTTATAAATATCACTATCATATATGAAAGAGTAAACTGTTGAGAGAAATTAATACAAAGATATGGAAAAAATTAAAATAAAAAACTTGAAGAGAGCACACACTAAACATTAAAACATGAGTACTGCCAAGCGAGATGTGATAGATCAGTAGAATTGAATAGAGGGAGTTACATGCGTCAAGAGAGTATGTCGCACTCATATTGGTGGAGGGTTGTCGCATGGTGGTTTACACTCAAGACACATTGGAATCAGTCCATTTCAGATGTAAGAAATTCAAGGTTTGTAGCATGCACAAAAATTTGTTGGCATATAGAGGGCAGCACTAAATGAGAATAGTTACTTATGTGAGAGGAGGTAATGTACCATATTGGAATTTTCCTATAAATAACATAAAATATTCAGATGTTATACAAAAATAAAACTGTCGGTAAATAACTAAAATATTTAATAATACAATCATCCCACCTTGCCCAGTTTGAGACATCAGTTACAAATACATTTATTTGAATGGTGTAACAAATAATTTTTGGAAGCTATCAGTTGACAATTTATTTCATATACAGGTAACTGTTAAATGAGCCAATCTTTGGACTAGTTGTTAAATATTATTTAGTAGCTTTTTGCCTGTTTAGATAATTCAGTATTTCACTTGATGGCTGTAAAATTCAATTATTAAAACAAAAGCATAGTTTTAAAACATAATTCTGTCAGAACCTAAGTTAAGCCCAATTAATTTAAAACTAATTATCCATCTAATAAATGTTTTTATTTATCCCTTAAGCTTACCTATTTGGGTTCACTTAAATCAATACAATTGTATTATGGGACTGTGGTATTTTCAGGTTAAATTGATATTTTACAATATGAGGATTGGTATGATAATGAATTTAGCTAAAACTGAGTTTGAGCAAAGAAATAATTTGACTGGAAATTATGTGTAACACACAATGAAAACAAACTTTAGGACAAAAACACTGTGTACTTGCTTATGGATACAAGATGTGTGATTTGATTAGACTATCCTTCTTTCCTCAAGATTTATTCTCATTAACCAATTCATTCTAGATTGGAAATGAGAACAATGACCCTCAAGATTTAAGTTTGGAAAAGGTTTTCTTAGATTTTTGGATGCAATTTGTTCATTGAAGGTGTCAGCATATCTGTTGGTATTGGTGTGCTGAGACATTGCACCCTCCAATGGGACATCTCACAAATGTGTCCCATTTCTTTTTCAATGATATTGGCTCAGGCTTAGCTGTTGTCAACATGGGTGGTATAATCATTGAATTGATGGTCCATAATGTAACTTGAAATCGTATCCAACAAGGCAGGAGAATCCTTAGCTGGTTGAAGAAAAATACAACTACTAGAATGATTTAGAAGGAAGCAGGTAGGAATGGGGTCAAGACTACAAACTAGTTCCAACACACATCAGCTGACTGAGGTTAGGCAGTGCAAGAACAAAGTAAGTATCCACTAGCCAGAGTGGTGGTATAACTTGAAGGACTTGATATATCACAATATTTACCACAGTTCTACCTGCTTCTCTTTCAGCCAGGCACTTGATCTCTCATAGGTATGTACCAAACTCCACCCAGCCCTGAGAGTGCTGGACTGACTATCAAATCTTTCAGCAAAAGCTATTTGCTAGCTCCCCCAAGTTGGTAACAAGGCGCAACTTGGGGTCCTTTAATTTTTCTAGACCTGTTGAGTTGTCCGTTGAAAAGATAACCTTGCCCATCCTCTTGCTCAGAAAAGTATGGGCACTGTTAGTTCTCTAGTACCTGCTGAGCCATTGGTTGGAGCCAATAGCATTACCTACTTTGCTTCTCTGCAAAGTATGAAAAGTTCACTGGCCACTAACCCAACATACTGCAAGTGAAATAAACACTTTACTTCTTTCATGCAAACTATGGGAGGACAAGAATAGTCCTGCCCTTTCATCAGAAACCAGTGTGATTGCATTGCCATGCTGGTTAATCCTTGGTATGGCTTGTGTTTTACTTTGGGGATATACCTAAGTAGGATGGTCCAACTGATGTGTAGCCACATAAGCTGTCTCTGCAGGCTTCTTCCTTTCCAGTGACTGGGTTCTCTATATTAAAATAATATGTTATAAAATTCACAATATGCCTCACAAGGCTACTATAGTGATGTTTTGTTAAAACTGAAGATATTTCAAAGCAACCCAGTAACAAGGTTTTTTTTTCTTTATACTATACTAATGTAATTGGATATGAATAAAAAGATGAAACAGTGGTATAAGCAAAAAAAGTTAAACATATTTCTAATCTTTAATATTAATTTAATAACCAGTTATCATTTTAGACACAACTGTACAGACATTCAAATATATCTCATATTCTGGAGGTGTATGAGGAAGTATATTTAGTGTGAAGAGGTAAGGGCAACTCGGCCTTAACAACTGTACAGACATTCAAATACATCTTATATTCTGGAGGTGTGTGAAGACGTATGTTATGTTAAATTAAAGAGGTTAAGATGCAAGGGCAACTCAGCCTTAATCATAAATATTTAACAGATTTTAGCTTACGAATTTCGCATTATTCATTTTATGTCACTTTCAACTGAATTTCTTACCATTTCAATTATATATTAACATAAGAAATGTTTTACCTGCTATCTTGCCACCTAATATACCACATCCTACGAGTCCAATTTTTGATAGTGCCATGATAAACACGTCTTTCTGCTATTATTCCAGGTCTAGAAAGAGTAAAATTTTCATAGTCATAAAGTACATACACTTGTCACTATTAAAATACTTCTAAAATAAATAAATAGCAAAACAAACAACATATAGACTGCAAGGGACCATTTGGTTCTTTGAGAATGTCCTTGTATTGCCATGAATGAAGAAATAAAATTTAAATCAATCCTTTTTTTTTGCATGATTTCCCTTTAAAGTCCTCTAGAGTGCTGTCATTCACTGTTGCTAATAGTAACTCATTCCATCAATCTATCACCCTGTTATAAAAACAAAACTATATGAACTAGAGCCTTAACTGTCATTTCTAAAAGTTAAACTTGTGTACTTTCATTCTATAGTCTTCAAAATATGGCACAAAGAAATTAGAGGCCTTTAGTTTATCACACAGATAGTCTTGTAAAGCTATAGCAGGATCTTTATTCTCTCAGTTCAGGAGAGTATGAAGAAGACTTGTAGTCAAAACATACTCTCCTGAAGAAGACTTGTAGTCAAAACATTGAGAGAGAGAATAAAGATGTTGTTATATCATTCTTAGTCTCATTGCTACCTTAGTATCCATTTGTCAATATGAATAACACTCATTAGTCTTGTAAACTTCAATAAGATCATTTTAGCCTCTCTTTCGCCAAACATAAAATGAGTTGAGAGATTCTACCCTATATCTGTAAGACAGCACTAATAAAATAAAAAAAGAAACTATGGAAGATTGTCATTCAAAAAAGCAAAAGATGGAAAATCAATAATGCAAGATACTGCCAAAAGACTACAGGTAACATCAGTAGGTCTTGACAATTTAACTGATTACCATAAGCAGTGATTATGTCGATTAGTGTCATGTAAACTAATCTATTAATCAAAATTACGATTAAATTGCTTATCATGAAAATAATAAATAATCTAAATTGGGACTTCTCATTATTCCAACTACATAAGTAATTGAAATATCGGCATTGTTTATTTTATGTTAAGCATGAGGCAAAATAATGAGGAGGTTATTTGCCACTGCCACTGCAACTACCCAGCAGCACCCATTGTCAACTCTCTAGCCACTAAAGTGTAAATTTACAGTATTTTTTTTTGCATTGTATTATATTTTTAATTTATAATTGCATAACTGTATTTTTTAATTTTGTATACATTGCTAAACACGTATGTTGGGATATGAGGGGTCAGACCCCCATTTTTCAAAAATTAATAACTGTATTCTATAATGATGTATGAACAGGTGCTGATCTAGGTGAGTGATCCAGAGGGGGCACACCCCACCCTTCTTTTCTGAAATTAATAACTTACTTAATGATGTATAAGTAGGTACAGATGTAACAGGTTTCAAACAGAGGATTTTGATATAATGAAAATAACTGAAACATGGCTAAATGTACACATTTATGATGAAAGAATTTTTTTTAAATACAGACTAAAGTACTATAAATAGGAATAGGATTGGCTTTACATGTAAAACATGATCTACATCCTGTTCAAGTTGAGGATAGCAAAGCTAAGAGCAATGATGTTGAATCTATTTTGGTTTATGTAGTGGTTATAAAAGAAGAAGGCTTTTAGTTGGAATTCAATAAAAACCACCAGGTGAAACATGAAATTAATGACAAACTTTATAGGGACGTAGAGAATTCAATTGTTAGTGAGGTAATAATTATGGAAGATTTTAATTTCAGGCATTTAAATTGGGAAGTGTTAGAGTCAAATCATAGGGAGACAGGTTTTTAAAAACTGTTCAAGATAGTTTCCTTCAGCATTTGGTTAGGGAACCTACTAAAAACAATGATATTTTAGATTTTCTGTTAACCTGTGAGGAGCATTTGAGTGTAAGTGATCATTTCTCAATTAGATATTTTTATTTTGCATAAGAAAATACAGAATAATGAGATTTTGGTTTCAAATTTCTAAAAATAAATTTTAAAAAGATGAAACAAGAATTATGTGCTGTGAATTGGGCAACTGAATTAGTTAAAGATACTGATCAAATAAATCTTTAAATATTCAAGATAGGCATGTTATTCACAATAAAAGAGAAAGAGTATCTGCAAGTAAAAAGAAAAAACAGGTTGGCTTACAACGAAATTTAAAATTCACTTGAATGATGGGAGATTTGGATGGCTATAGAAATTAAATTAAAAAACTGTATGAAAAAAAAGGTTGGCTGAAAGTTAAATACTCACCTCCTTACACAGAAAGCTATCTTCCCTGTGCATCTGTCTTAGAGACTTGCATGCTACTAGCCTTTAGGCAACTACCACTTCATCTCATGAGTTTTCGTGTTCACTTCACTACTGCATAATGACATTATTATGCAACAAAAGCCCTCCACCAATAGGAGGGAAACACAATGTCCCTGTGCATTAACTCCCTCTATGCTTTTTTTACTTAGATGAACTCCCTTTAGAAAGCACCTGAAGGAAACTCATGGAGTGTGACACCCAATGGCAGAGGATCCATCCATGGGAGACTGCATTTCATCTCCTCCAAGGTACGCTATTCACCCAAAACGGAAGGGAGGAAGAGGCAAAAAAAGCCCCAGACACAGGTATGGTCAGAATAAGAACATGGCTGTCTAAGTACTTGCACACAAAAGGACAGAGAGCAAATATGTGTAACAAATTTAGGGCTCATTTAGACCATACCTAGTGCACACCTCAAATATATTGTCAGATATTATTGGACTGAAACCAGCTGCAGGAAGAATGCACAGAATCCATACCATAGATAGTGTAATGCTGACGTGTCTCGCTTCAACTCTACCATCAAACTCTTGGACTGACACTACCTACAAGAGGAGGGCAAGATATTTTAGTGCATACTCACCTCAATTCTTCCATCAGACTCCTCAACCAATACCAGCTGTGGAAGGAGGGTATGGAAGTTATTACAAAGTATGTAATATTAAGAGTGCATGCATCATCTCGACTGAACAGTCATCCTCTGCAGGGATGATTTGTTAGTAAGTGCTCAACTCAACTGAAAAGATGATTGCAGGAGTAGGGTACAGTCTTGTAATGTGCTTCCTCGACTCTATTGAACAGATGCAGACTGCAGGAGAAGGGCAGAGTATCATATGAATTACTTCTGACATGTTGTTGGCATAATTATATGAAGGGTGAAATGCACTATACTGACAGTATCACCATTGCCTGACTTCCCACTGATTGGCACCCCTTGTTCCAGCCCCAGGTGTTAGATCCCAATCAGTGAGGATTCTCCATGGTCCACCCACCCTCCACATGCAGAAAAAAGGGGAGATCCAGAAAAGTATTTTACTGGAAACAATGCAACAGGTTACCATGTAAACCTATTTTCAAAAGTCAGCAAGCATGAGCCAGGGAAGCAGGTAGAACACCCCTTGTGCTGGCTTTTTTCATGATAGTCCATGGAATAGGTATGGAGTGGATCAGTCAGTATTTAGATATCAGAATATACTACAAGAATACCTCAAGTAGCCTTGAGGAACATCCCATCTCAACATTAGGCATATATGGAGCCAAACAGATGGTATATATGCTTCAATTATCCTGGCTCGATAAGGAATTTTTGGGAAATAAGTGTACCTCGGGAGGCACCACCAGTCACCTGGCAGGACCCTGTAGGCAAATGCTATGAACCAAAGGGGAATGTACTCACCTGTTTAAAGACAATGGGTAGACTGTAGGAGGGAGATGGGAATCAGCAGTGACCTTCAGGAGATGAGACAGCCAGATGGCAAAGAGAATGAACACTGAAGTTATGTGAGGTAGTCCACAAGCCAACTTGAAGTATCTCATTCAGCAGCCATCAGAAATGACCAGCAAGGGAATGAGAAAGGTGATAAATTTGATGGACCAAAATGCAGACCACCTGCAAGCTGCAACTCCCAATGAGGAGTAGACCAAACAAAGAATTTTGTAGACCCAATCTATATAGGAAGGAGATTTGTCGCTGGAAGAAATCTAGCAAGAGTGGAAGACAGAAACCCTAAAAGTGAGAGGTAGGAGCTAAGTAGCAGCAAATGACACAAAAGCATGTTTGGGTCTGAATTACCACAGAAGAAAGGGAAAGAGAAGATTAGAGATCTTCTGCCTGAGTGGCTGAAGACTAAGGGAAGAAGGACCAGTCTGGAGAAATATAAGGACATTGGAAAGGGTATGGGATGAGTCACTATTATAAAGATCTGAATGACAGTAACCACAAGTGAGAAGTTGTCTGAAGGGAAAGCAATAGAAATTGCAGGTTGCCAACAGCTTGAACAGATGCAGACCAAGATACACCAAAATATCTTTTTGATCTAAAGTTATATGCTAACTTCTTTCCACAAATTCAAACCAATTCTTAACTGTCTACTTATTTTTATCCCTTAAAGATGATAATTTTTGAGATATAGATTTTGCTACATTATAAGTTGAACTCTTAATACTGGATACAATAGGTCTGAAATTGTTATCAATCTTATGAACTTTAGGTAAGGCATATAATCTAGGTAAAATATAGTTACTTGAGGTTAAATTTTGTTTTTCATAAGGCATTAAAGTTATACAATTCTTAATTTTTTCTTTAACAATTGCATGAAGTGTATTAATAGGATTAATTTTTATGTTCTCATATGGACCTTCTTTCAAAACTTCTTTAACTTTAGAGTCATAATCATTTTTACCAAGTTTGTACAGTTGTTGTAATTTTGAGATTGGAAACAGTCTCATTTTTAGAATTGTGTAAAAAATAATTGTTGTTTTTTAACAGTGAATATTACCCAAGTGCCAAGCAATTAAAAAAAAATAAAAGTTTCTGATAAAATTAGTCTTGTGGTTATAAAGATGTATATGGTAATAAAATAAATGACCATCCAAAACACAAAGAAAACAAAACACTATAGTGATATCCTACTAATAGGATGTGAAAAAATGTAAAGGTTTAATTCAACAGACCAGTAAAAATGTAACAGTTCACAAATGTGCAACAAATAATCGTAATCCAAACAACAGCAGACTACCTGAATTTTATGGTTTTTCCAAGAACCATAAGAAAGGTATTCTTTTGAAACCCACTGTGTCGGCCTATGACCCACCAATAGAAAACTCATGGCTAGTTGAGAGACTACTTTACAATTGTTTGAATTTTATTCCTATACACTTAAAAAGCACTCGAGATTTTCTTAAAATTCTCCATACTATTAGTAATATCATCAATCCTGAAAATATATTACCCAGTCTGGATGTTGAATCATTGTACTCTTCCATCCCTATTGATGAAGAGGTAGATTTGGTCGTGGATTTTGTAAATGATTATAGACAGTGTAGATTTAGTAGGATATACTGTTCAACACATTAAATTTGGTGTTGAGAAACACTTATTTTGATTTAATGAGACCTACTATCAACAGTTATCTGGAATTGCTATGAGTATTCATGTAGCTGTAACATTTTCAGTTTTTCCATGTATATTTTAGAAAAGTAAGCCTTATAACACTAGTATAAAAAAATGCATAACATGCCAGACATGCGAGTCAGATATATTGATGACATTTTCAGAACTTGGAATGACTCTTTATGCAATTTACTACTTTCTTACGATTTCCTCAATAACTTCCATGCTACTATAAAATTCACTATCAGGAACTCCAAAGAGTAAAACATCTCATTCCTTGATGTTCAGATTATCCTAAAAATTGGCAAACTTGTAGCAGAACAGTATCATAAGCCTTGTGAGAAACCAGTGTTTTAACATTATCACTCACATCACCAACTACATGTTAAATGTACAACTATTATTGAACAATTAAACTGTATAAATACGATTTGTACAACTAATGAAGGTGAATCTAAATCTGTGCAAGAATTTTACACAAATTAAATAATAATGGATAGCCAAAGACATTTATTGATAATAATAATATTTTACAAAGCTATGAATGCAGAATCCACAATAACAATGTAGAAACATTACCACATTAAAAAATCGATACCATGCAAGTTTTGATTATGATTTCAGCTCATATTAGACAGGTATGCACACAATCAGGTCTCCACATCAGAGTTACACTTGCAGAGAAGCTAGGTAAAACTTTGAACAGTATGTTATTGTAATGTAACTTGTAAGATCAGCTTTTAATTAAACCTAAAACATGCAATAAACCCACAAACAAATGTGCAGGTTGTAAATAAGGTTTAAGAGGAAACTGTAGTGTAACCACAGGAATGCAGTATATAGTTTGAAATGCAAACTTTGTGGTTCTACATACATCGGTGTCACAGATACGTCAACCTTTCAGTATGTAAATCCGCGAGATTTCTAAAAAATATGTACCTGGTTTCGGCTCAGTGTAAACATGTCCTACCTAACGGAATCCGGCGCATGCTCGGAGTTACCCCTGATTTTTTTTTTAGATTTGACGCCCTGAAAAGCCATTTTCCGGAAATAATTTTTTTAAGTTGTTTAGCTATAAAGCAGAATATTAAGCCTGAGATCATAACCAATTGTATTTTGGGACATTCCAGTGCCAGTGTGAAATACACCAAGTACTTTGAAGGTTAATGAAACATCACTCTTAATCTATTTATATGATTTTATATTCAATTATATTATAATGTTGCACTATGATAACGAATGATGTTCGTGGAATAAAATTAGGTATATAAAGTGTTGGGTATCTGCTTGTTTGTTAATTTCCGGTATAAATTCTTTCCAAGAAACTTCAGCGATACAAGTCCTTTCTTGCTCAATCCCCGTTTATTCTTCCTCGATACAGCTTTTACTAATACACAGAATTTCCACAGTCACTTGAAACTTAACAATTTTTATAACACACGCTATAAATCACAGTTATTCACAGACTTTACTTATGGTGCCTACTGTTCGCTTGACTCAATTATCTATATCTTCAATTTATCTATCTCTGCCATGCCGCTAGTTTTTCTCGCCAGGCTTATATACTAAAAAAAAAGGGTGCCTCGAACAAATTCGGGCCTTCCCGATAATTCATGCTCCTTCGTGAAACTCCAACGCGCATGCTCCCTGCGTCGTGTGACTTCCGCTGTCGTAACAAAAGGTTTAGATTATTTTGCATTCGACAATATCAACTTTCGTTTGGTTGACAAAACTGCTGCGTAACGCCTTATCGGCCCAAGAAACTGATGAATGGACAAAGAAAAATATATAAATAAAAACAGGCAGTTGCTTTTGCCACTGCCAGAAAGGTGGCAATAAAAGCCATTGACTTACTATTTCAATGGACCAGAGGTAGTCACTGCTACAGAAAAGCTATTGACACCGACGTCAACGCTGACTAACTCAATATTTCACATGATTTTTCACAAAATAACGACATTAGTTATCGTGAGCTGATTGATACTAATAGCAGTAGCAGGGAAGAATATCAACATATACAGCCTTTTCTTCTTTCCAGAAATTTAAAACGAGTCTAGATCACCTTGAACAGAAAGGATCTTATGAGGAGAATTGTAGCAGCTTGCAAACTATATGCAATTGGCATAGACTTCCCGTTCTGTAGTTTAATAGATCTGTAACAGCTTCCAAGCTATATGCAACTGGCAAAGAGAATTCTTTTGTCTGGTTTCAATAACATTTATGGTTTTTTAGTCCTTTTTAACTTTGTTGTTAAGCACAAAGCTACACATTATATGCTATCTGTGCTGCGTCTACCACGGGTATTGAAACCCGCATTTTAGAGACATAAGCCTTTACCCTTATTGCTGTGACACTGGTAGGCGATGAGCATTGAATAAGCGAAACTACAGTCCACAGAAGGGAGTGCGGCGAATCGAAAAAAAAAGGAATACATTATTCCCCGACATCATAGGTAAATTTTACCTTTGGTGTATAGAAAAAGATATCTGTAATATGATTTCACAAAGGCTATCTGTGCTAACCATCCCTAATTTAGCAGTGTAAGACTAGAAGGAAAGCAACTAGTCATCACCACCCACCGCCAACTCTTGAGCTACTCTTTTACCAACAAATAGTGGGATTGGCCGTACATTATAACGCCCCATGGCTGAAAGGGCAAGCTTGTTTGGTAGGACGGGGATTCGAACCAGCGACTCACAGATTGCGACTCGAGCACCCTAACCACCTGGCCATGCTGGGCCCACCCAGGATTAACAGAAATCCCGATTCAATGAAAAAAAGCTTCTAAACAATGTTACAATCAATTCTTTTAGTCGTCTAACAGAATCTATCCAAATAAGTTAGCTATAACCTGTTTCAAAATGGAAATTTTAAACCAATCGAAAATACCACTGATGTACGACTTTATGACCCGTTCTGCACCTCTTCTAATACAACAAAAGTTTTGTCCAAAATGTGTGACTTTATGGCTCGTTCTGCACCTCTCTGCTACAATAATTTTTTTAAAACGAAGTGTCTATTGATACCGATAAGAATGTGGCAATCAAAACCACAAATGAAGCATTATAACAGTAAATTGAAATACAGGACGGGAAGTCCCTATAACAGTGGCTCGGCATGGCCAGGTGGTTAAGGCACTCGACTCGCAGTCTGAGGGTCGCGGGTGGGTGGTGATGACAAGCTGCTTTCCTTCTAGTCTTACACTGCTAAATTAGGTACGGCTAGCGCAGATAGCCCTCGTGTAGCTTTGCGCGAAATTCAAAACAAACAAACCAACTGCTACCTTAAATTCGTTAATACTGATAAGTGTGAAATAGTGCCTTTTATTTTTTATGCGATAATGCCTATAGTTGTTTTTCAGTCTACTATGTTTTTGCTAATTTTACTCTTATACGGTATATTTTTTGTTGTTCATCCAGCACATTCATTTATAAAAACGATTCGCCACCTCCAAACTGTAGTCGAGCTGTGTCTGGAGAGAAGGAACTAAGACAGCAACACGATTTGTACCATTAATTAGTAACTTAACACTATCGATTCCCTTAACACTCAATCAGATCACATATATTTCTACTTGTTTTCAAGAAAATAAAATTTCCGAGATGTATACGTATTCTTGTATGACAACCTTTCCATCTGAGGTATCATCCTAGTAGCCCTCCGCTGAACCATTTCCAACAATTCAATTTCCTTTTTAAGGTAAAGAGCCTAAGACTGAACACGTTCCTTCGAATGGGGCCTAACGATGACCTATACAATATTATTATAACCTCTTTACACTTATATTCAACATTTCTGTAGATAAGACCTAAAATCCTACTTGCCCCACCATTAGCAACAGTATATTGGTTGGGTAGCTCAAGAGACTGTTCAATCAGAATACCAAGACCCTTTACTTCCATAACATTTTTAAAGTTATTACAGTCAAAATTATACTCATAATTCAAAGTTAATATCCTACATGCATTACCTTGCATTTATTTTAATTAAAATCCATCAGCCATTCATTTGCCCAAATCACCAAATAATCCAATTTCCTTTGTAAAGCAGCAGCATCCTCCTCACAGCCAGAACACCCAAAACTTTAATATCATCAACAAATTTAAATATTTTATTGACAATTTCTTCATCTATGCTACTGATGTAAATCAAAAACAGCAAAGGTCATAACAGAGAGCTCTGAAGTACCCCACTTGTGACATGAATCCAGCTCAACTGAACTCCATTCGCAACAGCCTTCTGCTTTCTTTCATTCAGCCAATTTTCTACCTCCCACGCCTACAGAGATAACATTATAACAATCCTTTTATGTGGCACTTTGTCATATGTTTTGTGAAAATGGAGATACAAACTCTACATATCTACCCTCATATACAAAAGAGCAACCTCTTAATAAGGCAAGAATTTCCCTTTTATTGTGTTAGAAGTTTATCGTTTTATAAGAAACTGTCTTATAGCTAATCAACTTATCTCTGTCTTACACTAGGTACCTTAAAATATTGTTACGTCTCCGTTCGTTAGTTAATTTTCCGTAAAAATTCTTTCCGAAGAAACTTTATCGATAGAAGTCCTTTCTTAAATAAAACTGGTTTATTCTTTCTGAATAAAACTTTGCGATACACTTAATTTCAACAGTCGCGCTATAACAAACGCTTTGATTCTCAAGGAACGTCTCACGTGCTCGACTCAACAATATTCAGTTCAGTTACACATTCCCCATCGTTTCTTGGCTGGTCTTATATATACTAGACTACCCCACTCTAGTAGCCTCCCGACAATTCACGAAGGTTCGAGAAGGACGTGGCGTGATACTAGTCACGTGACCTCGGCTGTCGCAACAATATCCTCTAAATTTTCTCGTCTGGTCATATTTTTCAGATTCCTATTGCAATAATAAACTAGGACCCTTACTGTGATATAAGTCATAGGTTTTCTGCATACAAATAGTCTGTACTTTAAAAACTATGTAAAAACAATCACGACTAAATTATAGCAGCAACAATTTTTTGCATTGTCCGTGATTTTTTAAAGTTAATTCCATGCTTCAAATATTTGGCAGTGACAGAGAAAATCTGTATGAAGAAATTTGTATGTGTGTGTGACTAAATAGTTAATGTCCTAAAGATGAAATTGTAGTCTAGTGGTAGGCGTGCTCGGACTGTGAATCCGATTGTTGATGATTCGTGCCTCGTTGCTATAAAAACTTGCTCCGCACTTTGGAGCCGTGGATGCATTATAAGAGTGATGGTAAAACCCTACTATTTAGCAGACTAAGAGTTGACAACGGGTTCTCTTGACTATCTATCTTCCATTTAATCCCCATTTCAAAATTAGGGATGATTATGTGTGGACAGACCTTGTGATTGAAGAGTAAAGTATATACGATATTGTGGTGTAATATTACTTGTGTAAGTTTTGCTTTCAAAATGTGCTATTTTAATAATACTTTTTGTTCATCAAAATTTTTCACATATACGTGTATTTGGCACATGTTTTGAGGTCAACGTACAGAAATACCTGGTATAACTTGTCACGACTTTAGTCTTGAGCTACATAGTGTCAAAGATCATTACCCTGTGGTGTTTCTGAATTCTTTCGAAGAGAGTATCACTGGAGAATTACTGATCTGATCATTTGTCTTCTAAACACATACGTTAGGTATAAAGGTTTATGGATATCTGGCGGTTAGGACCTCACTACTTTTACACAAGTAACGTGGGTGATAAATGCACTTTGTGTGCTGAATCCAAGCCGGGCCTGGCATGACTTGGTGGTTAGGTTGCTCGTCTCGCAATTTGCGGGTCATGAGAATGAATTCTAGTGCCAGAAATATTGGGTGTTTTATAAAGTGACGGTAAATCACACTATTCGTTGATTAAGTGTAATTAAAGAATTGGCGGTTGGGGCTGTCAGCTGGTTAACTTACCTGTGGTTGGCAGTTCAAAATTAGGGACAACAGCTTTGACATAAACAGACAAACAAGTATTCCAGCTGG